TTCCTGGGGTTCAATTGTAAATGAAAAAAACCTAGAAATTGGGTTGAATGATTAGTGAGAAGAGCTTCTGCAAACAAGATTTCCTATAAAGAACCAAAGAAGGGAGTAAAGCTATGATTCTTCAGCAGCTTCTCACGTATGGAACTGTTGGGTTCATAATTATTACAGTTCATGAGCTGTCTTGCTGCTGGAGTTGTTTCCCCTTTGTATTGTTTTCCGTCTCCTCCTCCCTCTAACCCAAATTCTAAAGGAATAAGAGTGGGACTAGTGTTTTTGCTGTTAGAGCCATTGCATTTTTCAGCTTACTGGTTACAATGGATGTATTTTTACTTGTGTTGTTTTAGGTGCTGCCTTTTATCTATCGTGCCATTGGTTCAAAGCATCTTCCTGCCAGTAACATCAGCTTTGTTCATCTTGATTCCCATCCAGACCTTCTTATTCCTGTGAATATGCCTGCAGACACTGTATTTGACAAAGAAGCTCTTTTTAGGTAAGTCCTGGGTACTGCATCAGAATACTTTGTCCGCTTCCTGCTCTTTCGATTTACAGTGAATATTGGTATGACTGCATAGGACGTATGCAAAAAAGAGGTGTAAGTCAGCCTCAAGCTGTTTCTGTCTTTTCACTTTTGCTGAAAATTTTTTTTTTTTTTTGACAAAAGAATTATGTTTGTGTTTTTTGAATGTGGTCAAATGTTTAAGTCACAGATCAAGCAATTTAAGACTTAACGAATTTACTTTGTTTAGTTGTGCAGTAGCATATCATGTTATTAGGCCACTTAGTTCCTCTAAGTAACAGGACAGCACCCTGAGTGGATGCTTTGGTTTTGCACCCTGAAGAGCTGTGGTTTTAAAACAGCCTTTCTCTCTTCGTACTGAAAAATTGCCTTTGAGATTGAAATAACATCTCCTATGTTGACGTGGTGAATATGTGAAGTTGAACAAGATTTTCCTATTAAGATCATTAAGACCAATATTTTCCCCCAACTTCTTAGGCAGGTAACAAGCCACAGAGTGATCTTTGCTATCATCTTTCTTTTCCTGTTTCAAAATAAGTATCAATTGCTTCAGTGTTGTGGTGATTTACAGCAATGACAAGATGATGTAATTGGTATGTAAGTAATTGTATCATGCTACCCATAGTCAATATTTTGTTTTCTTTCTTGGATGAATAGGAAGTTTTGTGGGCTATATCATACACCTGAAAAAATAAGGTGTTGATAATCAGGAAGGTTGCTATTCTGTAGGTGCTGACTGATTCACTATCACTGAGATTATATTTAAAATCTATTTAGAGCAGTTTACAATAAAATACTCCTTGAGGTCAGTTTGAAGTTACTTAGAACAGTGTTGATGATGCTCCTTGTACTTTCCTCTGGGTGATGTATCAAGAGAAAAAAGACAACAAATCCATATACTTTATAATCAAAGTGCCATACTAAGAGTGAAGCTGATTGCACTCTATAATCCTAACTTTTTAAATTCTACTGTAGACATTTTTAGTCTGTCTTAAGAATAAAAATGTTCCTCTTTTTCTTTCCTTGATGATGCAAACCTTACACAGAGTACTAATTTCAGATGATTTGCATGGGGGCTTTCAAGATGTGGAAGATGTTTATTGTGTTCTTGACCATGTTTTACTTACAGGGAAAGTAACAGTATTATCTCCAGCCTTTCTCCATTCATTACAGTGAATTAAGTATTGAGAACTGGATTATGCCTGCTGTTTATGCTGGCCATATTTCTCAAGTAGTATGGCTTCACCCACCCTGGGCTCAGCAGATCTCAGAAGGAAAACACCATTTTTTAATTGGGAAAGACATATCAACAACAACAATCAGGTAAATTGTCTGCTGTCATATAATATAAGGCCTATCTCTGTAGCTTTTCATGTGTGGTTTTTTTGTATCTTTTTGGATAAAGATGAAAATTCAATTTGTATTTGTGAATTCCTTAGGACCTAATGTGACTGACTATTTGTGAGTGGGTACAGTTAAAACTGTGCCTTAAATTCTTTTTTTTTATAGTTTTTTAGGTAATTCTAGCTGTTCACATTTCATTTCAGCTACCCAAGTTTTGAACTGGTTCGTTAAAGTCATAATCTCAGAAAACAGTAGTTTTTAACAGAGAGTTTGGGTAACAGAGGGCAGCAATTAGATCTTCCTCAGTCCTCCATTATCAGGACAAAACAAACCTGGTTCCTTCAGCTTCCCTGTCATGTGCTCCAGCCCTCTAATCACCTTAGCGGCCCTTCTTCAGTTTGTTGTCATCAGTCTTGACCTGGAGGCCCAAAGCCGGGCAGAGCATGTCAAATGTGACCTCACTGGTGCTGAATAAGAGAAGAAGTCTCTTCCCTTCCCTTGATGATTCTGTTTTTCTCGTGTGTGGTTTTTTTGTTTGGGGGTTTTTTGTTTGTTTTTGTTGTTTTTTAAGTTAATATACTAGTTAAGCATTGAAACAGGTACACAGGCAGACGGTGCATTCTCCATTCTTTGATGAAGTCAAAACTTAACTGGACGAGGCCCTGGGCAGCCTCATCTAGCTTTGAAGTTAATTCTGCTTCAGTCAGATGATTGACAAGAGACTTCCAGTTGTCTCATCCAATCTTAATCATTCTGTGATTCAAGTTCCAGTCAGAGCCCCTCATCATTCTGTGGGATGCAGTCAATGACAAGTTTGCATTCACAATATTCACTGCATTGTGATTTTGTATGGCTTGAATGGACATTTACAAATCATGTCTCTTGCCAGCATATCAGAATAAATCTTTTGGAGCAAGTTTAACAGAAGGCAGCAGAGAAATGCTTTGTTTTACCACTTAAAATAAAACACAAAAGCTCTACAATTCTGAATCTGAGGCCTAAAGTAAACCTAAATAATAAGACAAAAGCTGGTTCTTTCAGTTACGTTTAACCATGAGAACTAGCACACCTATGGAAATACTTCAAGATGGCTGAAATGCTGTCCTGCAGACCCTCTGGTCGCCTTAGCAACCTTGAAAACAGCATTTCCAGCTGCCTTTTGAGGATGGTCAGGTACCTTTTCTTCATGTTTTAGGCTTACAAAAATCATGAAGGAAGAAAGGGAAAGAAGGTAAAGAGCCCTCAGAAATATGAACTTCCCAGAAGTTTTGTTAACAGGTGGCTGGATAGGCAATAGATATCTTAGTGTCCCACTAAGGGAAAGGCTGTAGCATGAGCTTGTGTTGAACCCTGGAGAATTTCTGAGAAGAGGCCCTGTGAATGCCCCATCAACAAGATGAAGTTGTGATCCATGCTCTCACCTTAGCAGGCCTAGGATAATCCAGCCACAAGGCACAGGGGAACTAAGCTTCAGATTTCTGCTGCTCATGAAATTATTTGTCTTTGTGGTTGATTGATGAGGATACCCTGTGATCATGTGAGGCCTTAATACAAGTGAGCAGAAGTTCACACTTCTTCTTAAGCTTATTTTTTAATCTGAATTTATTATGCTTAAGGCTTAATGTACTGAAATATGGCTTGAAAATAATATTCTTTAAATTTTCTGCTGTAATTGGAGTTTTTAGTGGTGTTGAGGTTTGATTTTTTTTTTTTTTTTTTTTTTTTTTTTTTTTAGTGGGATACATTTAATACTTCATTTTTTTTTTTTTTTTTTTTTTTTTTTTTGAGTTAAGTGGATACCATTGATACGTAGCTATTTATCCTCGAGCTACCAGCTCTCCCGCACTTAGAATAGGGAATCTCTATTGGTGGCAAAGAAAAGTTAAATGCTACCTATTAATTCATAACATTTTACTTTTACTAAATCAATATCCATGGGTTTCAGGGCACTTCAAAAACACAACTAACAGAATTTTCCTTAAAAAATAGGCAATCCAAGACAAAATGTTCATAGCTTTGCAGCCATAATATTGACAATATCTTGTTAAAATCTGGATGTTCTGTTTAAAATGCAATTCAATGACAAATTAACCTTAGTAGCACATAACATAGAATCTTTTTCTTATCTGTTAAAAACCTTGTAGGGCTATCATAAAAAATATAGTGAATTTTAATATATTGATTCAGCAATAAAGAAGTGGAAAAAAACTTCAATTTAAAAACCTGCGGATTAAAATAAATAATTTTGTGTACATAGTTTTATTGCTCTTGTTACCCATCAAACAGCTGTTCAGTCTTCTCAGGATCCCTTAAGCGTACATGCTTTTTCCTAAGCTCTTTGCAAAGATGTATATTAACTGTGGGTTATTGTCAATTGTAGGGTTACAGGTACAGATCATTACTTTCTAAGTGATGGTCTTTATGTCCCTGCTGATCAGCTAGAAAACCAGAAGCCTTTAAATTTACACGTCATTCTCATCAATCCTACTGAAGTATCAAACAGCCAGGAAGACAATGGTGAAGTAGCATCTGCTAAGAGACTGAAGCTAAATACAGACAACACAGCAAGCACAGCTTCTACCTCTTCGTCAGTGGTTCCTGGCGACCTTGATCACAGCACCCCAAGTCTGAAGAAAAAAGAAGTGCAAAATGCAAGTGCCCCAAACAAGGCAGAAACATTGTCAGAGTGCTCAGCTTCAAGCTCTGTCCGAAACAGTGAATGCCCGATAAGGGAAGTTGTTAAGGATGTCTGCCAAGTACTGCAGAAAGGGAATGCATATGTTTTAGACATTGACTTAGATTTTTTTTCAGTTAAAAATCCATTCAAAGAAATGTACACACAGGTAAGCATGACAATGGAGAGGCTTCTTACCATTCACAAAAGAGTACCAGTCCTAGTGTTTATGTCTATGGAGAAGCCTTCATCTAAGCTAAATTAGCAGATCAGCTGATCATGATTAATGATTCATGGTAATACTTGAAGGAGAGACATTCTAAGGGAGTGTGCGCTCCAAAGAATTACAACAACCTAACAGGGGTAGATCCTTACATTTGAAATTGATATTGAGTGCACATTCAAGCTCAGAGGTGTATGGCTCACTTCTGCTTGTTGCTTGGGACATAAAAGCTGTGCTTGGGTTTCCAAGGGTAATGTTCCAAATACCCGCAGCAAGATTCATCAGGGAGGGATGACAGATTATATCATTTTTTATGCTATTGGAAAGCCACAATGGTATCAGGAGACTCTGCCTTTCAAAAAGGCATGGAGGTGTTGATTATCCAAAGAGTGGTAACCTGTCCTGATGAGAGGTTGTTACTCTCATTTCCTTTGTCTGAACTGCTGAGTATAAGGATGAGCAAGCAGCTGTTGTCTCTGATGCCGTGGTTTTTGAGCTTAAGACTCTGCCTTGTATCCCATTTATAACTTGGCTGCACAGCAGAGGTAGCTCACCTGTATAGAGTCATAAATATGTAGCAGTTAGCACCTTTTCTTGATGTGAACAGGATTTTTAGGAACTAACTAATGTGCTCTGAAAATTTGGTTTGGCATTTAGGTTTACAAATTTTTCTGCAATATCCTGACTGTTTTTAGCATTTAAATCTCTCTTTTTAACACTGTTTTAACTTCAGCCTGTGCCAGAGAACATTTGATATCTTTGAGTTTCAGCTAGACTACTGCTTCCTTGTTCACCACGAAGAAGTGAATATAGTGTCCCTGACCTCTGTTAGCTTCTGACATTCAGTATTTATGATCGCAGTGTCTTCAGACAATGTGGAATGCCAGTTGTTCTGAATCACAAAGAGAAGTGTAGAGCAAAGGGGAAGCACTGTGGGGGTCTTGCCATATAAGAATAAAATTCAGTGCCCCTCTTAGGGCTTGAAATACATTCTGAATAAAATAATGGAGGAGGTTTTTTTTGGGGGGTGGGTTGGTTGGTTGGTTGGTTTTTGCGGGTGGTGGTGGTGGAGGATTTTTGTTTTGTTTCTTGTGGGTTTTTTGGTTTTGTGCTATGAGAGGTTCTCAGTTCCAGGAACCACTTTCAGAAGTGGACTTGCACAGAGCACCCAGTGTACCTTTTTTGATACAACGATTTCATTTGCAGTTAATATTTAACTGTGTTCTCTCTATTTTAAATTATGACAATTTCATCCAAAAATTTTTCCCAAGTTAACACTTGAAATGTAAGAATCCAAGGAAAAGCTAAAAAGCAGATATAGTTCACTAATCCAGAAGAGTATTGTCTTCCCACCAAAAAAGTCTAAAATCCAAAACATTGCCCTAAAGATGCTTTGTGTTTCTGTAAAAATTTAATAGTCTACCCTTCCTTTCTCCCTCTGCTCTGAAAAATTCATGAGTGTTCACCTTTTTAATGCTGTTAAGTAAATAATGAGATCTCTTTATCCTTGATTAATTAAACCTGAATATTATCAAGGAGTAGGGCTGACAAGCCTCTGTAATAATTTACTTGTGAACTTGTTGGCCAGCCAGCCTGAAGCCTTTACCTATCCTGTTTTCCTTCACAATCATACTTCCCTGTTGGTTTTGTCTGCCTAAATCTGCCATGTCAGTTTTAGCATCTCATTTGGGACCTTAGTTCAGCAACATGTAATTTCAGAGACTCTTTAACTAACAGCCTGTAAATATTTAGCTTTTAAAGCTGTGTTCATGAAGTCAGGTTTATAGTTAAGCAACTCCAGAACTTTGGCGAGGCCATGAAGTATTGCTTTCTCAAGCCTCACAGCCTCTTCCTCACCTGCATTTATAGAGAGTTGTCTGCAGTACTAAAGTAAAGGAATGATCTTGGTGATCAAATTCTTATTTTGAAGAAGGAAGGCTTTGAGGATTTTGTCTCCCATTTGAAGAGTTTTTCCTCTCTTTTTCTTTTTCAAAGACAGAATATGAACTTTTGCAAGAGTTGTACAATTTCAAGAAGCCTCATAGAAATGCAACAGAGGTATGGTATTTCCTTGTGGGATGTATGAGGGAATGATTCTTTTGATTTACCCAATAAAATTGAGTTATGACAAGGAAGGAACCTATGAAAGGTGCTTAATGAAGTGGTCTCCAATTAAGCTATGTAGCATGCTGAATGCTAATCAGCAGCATCTTAGGAATTCTTTCCTATTAAATGTTCTGGTTAAACATGTGAATGGCATAAATATTTAGCATGAGTGTGAAAATTAATTTCTGTAAACAAGTATTAATTGACAAGAAGAAGAAATGAAAACATAGTAAGTCATCTGCCATCTTGTTTTTACAGCTCAACAGGGCTTTGGTTTGGTTTTTTGTTTGGTTTGGATGGGTGTTTTTGTGGTTCTTTTTTCTTTTTTTTCCCCCTCTAGGCTCTCCCCTCCCTTGCCCTAGTTGCTCTTCCTTGATAGTCAGAGCTGTGCTGAATGCCAAACTGGTATTTTACCTATTTATTTAGATGCAGAAAGGCGGGTATTATACCACTGTAATGTACTTTTCATTGTACGCGTTGTGTGCTTCTGAATCATGTAAATGTAAGCATGCTGCAGCTGCCAAAATAGTCATTCAGCCCTGAGCCCAAACCATGGAGACAGCCATATTGATGGTCATTACACCAAGTAATTTCTAAATAAGATCTTGTCTTTGCTTTTGTAATCTCATCTGAACACTATTACAGAGCGATTCAACACATATAATTATCACAGATTAATGAATCCTAATTAGTATGTGTGTATGAAGAAATTGAGATATGTGGAAGATTATCAAATTGATTTTCATACTTCTTTGTCAATCAGCAATAAAAAAAAGGTACCTATTTAAAAGGTAGTTAAATCACAAGCGTTTACCCCTTTTACATTTAAGTGCCCAGTATGATTTCAGGGCATACGTTATTTACAAAAACCAACAAGTTTATAGGAGGCAACTGAAATGGTTAGCAGACAGTGAGTAATGGATAGGTATAGAACTGAACAAGGCAAGACTAGATTCATGGATGTTTTTATAGTCAGACAGTCAATTTAAAGGGTTTGAAGGCAAAAAGCTAGTGAACTTTGTGGTTTTTGAAGTTTCAGAAAATATCCTAGATGTCTAGTTTCTTAAAATCTGGTTTTGTAGTTCCAGTGTATGGTTAGATGTACATTTGTATCATACTGCAAGATAATAGTGTGTTGGTTGGGGGTTTTTTGTTTGGTTTTGGTTTTGGTTTTTAAGTGGTATAGAGGGGGATCGGACGTGTCTTTAAGGTTAGTTCCTAGTGCCACTTAGAAAAGTATCTTATTCATACCCCAGGACAGGATCATAAAGCTGTACTTCATGAATGGTTGATACTCTCAGCTCCTCTTAAAAATTAGCCCAAAGCTGACATCACTGGCCAAAAGAAGCGGCATCTGTTACATGATACAGCCAGCAGAATCCCAGGAGGGAATTGTTATGTTCTTAATTGTTATCTGTATATTCCAATGTGCTTTTTAATAATTTTCCTTCACACACCACTGCATTTTTAATACCAAATATGCCAAGCATTGCTTTTCATTTCTTATGTAGGAACTCTTTCTGCAAATGTTTGCATGTACAACTGTATTTATGTATGTAGCCTCACTCCAAGAAGATTGTCTCTTTATGTGTTCTGAACTTTTTAAGAAAGGGCATAAACCTTTGCAGGATCAGAGCAATAACTGACATTTTAAATTAATTCCGTGTTTTTTCAGGCACACAGAGTTGAAACAACCTGAAAGCATCAAATAGCCCACTTTGTTTTGCTTTTCTGAAAACACATTTGATTTAATAACATTCTTTTTTTTAAACTTAAAAAATTAAATTCTCCTTTCATTATAAAAATGTAAAGCTTGTACTCATCTGACCATTTCAGAGCTGTAGAAACAAATCCAACAATTAGTCATATACAATTTCTTAGCGCTTCCCGGTATATTCTGCCAGAATGTAGATGTGGCTTTTTTTTTGTTTGCTGTGGGAAAGACAGAGCACAGAGAGGTGGTTTATTCTGAAGGTGTAACAGCTTCTGCAGGCATTCGTTCTGATCCTCTTGAAAAGATGTTCTGTAGTAATGAATCAGTTGTTTCTGATTCCCCACTTCCAGTAGATCAGTCATTTCAGAATTTAAATCTTAGCGTAAGTCGTGACATTGTTACCTCTTTTTTTCCTAACATACTTTTATATGTGCTTGTTTAAAGGAGGGCTTGCTGGATTGTGTTGAAAACCGTGTTCATCAGCTAGAAGATCTGGAAGCAGCATTTGCAGATTTGTGTGACAATGATGATGAAGAGACCCTACAGAAGTGGGCTTCATATCCTGGGTAGGAGATTTCTAAATGGCTTAAAATGCAAACAGTAGTTTAGGAACTGATTAGCCCAGCACTTTGCTAACAGAAAAGGAGAGAGGCTGGATAGGATCTATGCAAGGCTACCCTTTTTCCTTTAGTTCTAGAGGAGGAGTCAGACAAAAGAAGAGGCAGTCTGCTGTCTTCAGTGCTATGGTAAGCCTTCCAAGATCAGCCTTATACAGCCTCATGAAAATTCTGTTGTCTGTGGAGGGAGGCACATTTGGTGACTAAAAATTTAGTGATCTGTGTGAAGCAGAGCTCTCAAAAAAGCAACAAACCACGGAGGATATGGAGAAGGACTCCTTTGGTGCTCCCGAAGGTTCTGCTTTCTGTCGAAAAATGGAAGTGAATGAAAGGCTGTACCTGAGCAACAGTGTCCACAAAATGTCTCAGCAGCATCTGCTATGTTTTTAAACGAAATGTTTTCAGCTGGAAAGGAACAGCAAAAGTCTGAGCTTTCCCTTTATAGGAAAATCACTCATTTTCCCCATCAAATGCAGCAGTTACTGCCAGACCCGCGTAACAGTGACCACGAGTGTTTCCTATCAGGTTCATACAACTTTGAGCTACAACAGCTTGTCTCCAGGTCTGCCCTAAAAGAAGTGCAAAGAGGTCTTGCCAGAGGCAGTTATGAGTATAGGGACTTTCTAAGAAAGATCTGGTGAAACAGTACAATAGTACTGATAATTTCCATTTTTCTTAGGTGCAAGATGACATAGAGGGGCAAATTTCATTTTCAAATCCTAGGCCATAATAACTTCTACTTTATTCTTTTTTTTTCTCTTCTTTTTTTTTTCTTTTTTAAAAGTACTTAAACAGTTGGAAACACATGTATTTGCCTTATGTAACAAGTTTTGGTTTCGTTTTAACTCCAGAATGAAACCGCTTGTTCAACTAGTTCACAGTTTGAAAATCAGGATGGAAAGCCCAGACTACGAAATGGTAGGTGACTAAGTAAAAGAGCAGAAGGTAGACAGATTTCAAAAGCATAGCTGCAACAGGGAGGGAAAAGATCATGCTTCATTTCAGACTTGCTTCTTGATTCAGGACTGTGAGATTTTGGTAGTTTTCCGGTTTTTTTTAATGTCTTATTACTTAGGCCAGCTTTTCTTTTCAGAGCTTCTAAAATTCTACTCTGCTTGTCTATATTTAGGCAACATTAATATGATCTTTCAGGACTGCGATGTCTCAGGCTGCTTCCTGTGAAGGAAGGTTTCATTTCACCAGGGTCTGTTGATATACTTTATAGAACTTAACGTACCTGTTTGTAAAAGATCAGACCTATCATCTTCAAGGTCTGCAGCATACTCTGAATTCATAGGAGAGCTACAGCGTACTTAGAGATAATGAAACAATCCATACAACCTCTCCAGAATTTTATTCTTTTTGTTTAAAGAACAAATGGGGGAAAAACACAACTCTTACTGCCTGAAGAGGTGTAAGTTACCTACTGGGCTAGGGGTGGTATCATAGAGACTTTTTATGCACATAAGCTATATCAGTACTTCATCAACAGAAATTAAATCTCTAATTTACATGTAGGTCCATCAGGCTGGTCTGACCTGTGATTATATGGAGCTTCCTCACCATGTTAGCACTGAAGAGGAGATCGAAGGCCTCATACAATCCATTAAAGTTCTGCTAAAAGATATGCCTAAGCCCACACTTGTGACAGTTGCTCGGTAAGACTATGTAGATACTTTTACTTTAAAATGCTCAGACTGTGCTTATGAAGCTAAATGATTCTAGCAATATAGCACTGGTTGGCATTTCTTAAATTCTGTCTTGAAGCGGAAGTGTAGTGAAAATTGACATTTGAAAATGTTGATCATAAGGCAGTGATAGTATCTACACAGCTAAGGGAAGGTTCTGCACTGATGGCCAGTTTTGCTGCGCTTTAGAGTAGTTAGCACAGATTTCAAAACCAGTGAAAACATGGCTTAATGAGCTTCAGCACAGGCTATATAAAGCCTGTGATGAGGCCTTGTGTGTGTTGAGATTGATAGCTGTCACTGGGGTTCATACATCTCCACTACTTTCATTACTTGTGCTAGTTAGAGCAAAGCTAGCTTGGACAAGCCTGCATGGGCTGAAATCACACCTTCCTTATTCTCTTGTTCTAAGGCTCATTGTACTACAGATAGGATTTCTGTTTTCAGTGAGACTTCTGATGGAAGTGTTTTTCATCTAATGGGCTGAAAGGGATTTATATTCTAGAAAGTTCTAGTAAAGCTTTGTATGGGGTAAAAGTTATGCTTCCAGGACTGTAAGGGTACTATTTGGGAGAACAGGATGGAGTTTGAGGCCAGGGACCTGGGAGAGCCAGGGAAAAACTTAATTTGAAGACCACAGTGTATCTGTTGACAAATTCTGTAATTTAATCACTTCAAAAATACTAAGTGTGCCCTTAAAGGGCAGGGAACAATAGCAGAAGCTGACATGAAATTGTTTTTGTCAACAAGAAATAGTATGGCTCATACCTACAATAAAAAGAAAGCTGTATTTCCTGTGCCACCTGCAGGGTTATCATCCATTGTTGCAGAGAAAATGCAGAATCATTTATGTGGATCTTGACAGATACAAAATCCAAGATGTGGCAGCTCCGCTTTTTTACTAGTATCTGTTTGCAGTTTGTTCATAGAGACTGCAAATAACGTTATATCCCAGGGACTGTGAAGGTTTGTTTTTCAAGGTTTCC